ATTGTAATATAATTGAAATATACCATCCCAACTCTGTTGGTGTTTTGCCAGCTGATTTAGACTATTTTGCAAATTCCAACAACAAATATGTTTGCAAAAAATGCGCGAATGCTCGCCGACTTTCTCTTCACTCTCCCCCGCGTCCCACTAATCGGGCCGCAAAGGCGACTTCAAATAATAAATCATTTAATTTTCCTTTTCTTGCTAATATTACTAATTACTCAAACTCATCTCATCAACAACAGCTGCCAAAAACAACGCTATCATAGTAGCACAATGCCACTCATATTTGACTTACAAACAAAATACGGGCAGGAATTTCAAGACTTCAACCCTGTTTTTATGAAACATTTTATTTTTATCAGTATTTTTCAGCATTTTGGAGCTACATATATTAAGTCCAAAAAAGCTACTTCGAACATACCTTCATCGGTTTTCTACAAAGAAAAGCTCGCGAATAGCCCTGAAGAGGCTGCAAATCTATTTACTGAGTATTTTTGCTCAAATTTCGTGACCGAGGTGGGCCATGACAGTAGTCCCATCCGCAGTTGTGTCTCCGACTCTACCCTATCATTTGGGTCGGTTACTCTGTCGGCTGAAGAAACAAATGGATCTTGACGGCTTATCCGCCATTATTTTTAAAAAATGTCCCGCCCTAATGGAACCCTTAACGATAATTTTTAATAAGTCTCTGTCCAATGGGGAGTTCATTAATGATTGGAAAAAGCCTTCCATAACCCCAACCAGATCAGGTTGATGCGATCTATACTGACTTCTCTAAAGCCTTCGATAGGGTTTCCCATAAAATCTTAGTGGCTAAATTATCGGATATGGGTTTTCACTCCACTTTTTTGCAATGGATTCGGTCTTACTTAGATAACAGACAGTGCGTAGTTGCCTTTGACAACGTATCTTTACAACCTTTCGTCGCGCAGTTAGGCGTCCCCCAGGGTAGTATAATGGGGCCTTTGCTATTTACATTATTTATTAATGATGTCAGCTCCTGCTTCCAAACCTCAACCTTAAAATCTACTCTACGATTAGAAACTTGCATGACTCCTGCGCATTACGACTTGAGCTTGATAAGCTCTACTCGTGGTGCACCTGGAATCGGATTTTTTTCTGAATGTAAAAAAGTGTTTTCATTCCACATTCACTATAAAATATAACCCGTTACTAACTAGTTATAAAATTTTTGGCTCAACCCTTGATGATATTACAGACTTCAAAGATCTGAGTATATATTTTGATTCCAAACATCGATTTACCACCCACGCCAGCTATGTTGTTATAAAATCGTTCGCTATGTTAACTTTTATAAGACGTAACTGTTCAGCTTTCTTGGATCCATACACGCTCAATATGCTATATACTACATTAGTAAGATCTAGGATTGATAACGCAGCCTTAATTTGGAGACCGTATCACCTAACTCATATTAACCGTATAGAGCGAATCCAAAAAGTATTAAGTTTGCACTCCGTTCTTTAAACTTTACTGATCCTTTATCTCCCCACGAATCCCGTTGTCAACTTTTATCCTTGAAAACTTTACAGTCCAGATCTTCCTTTCTCTCTTGCAGCGTTGTATTGAACCTGCTAAATTATACAGTTAACTGCCCTGCCCTTCTGGAGAAATTAAACTTCTTTTTTCCTGCGCGGAATCTCCGACACGTCCCTCTGTTTTACACTGAGTTTCCTAAATTTGATTACCTTAAATTTGCACCCATGCCAAGAACTCTGTCTGAATTAAATAATATTTCTAACTTGGACCCGTCTTTGTCGCCTGGAGCTGTCCGGAGCTTACTGTATAATTATTTTAACTAATTTTTTAAGTCGTTCCTAAGCAATTCCTTTCTGTAGTCAATAAGAAATTAATTGTTTCATATGACTTAAATAAATAAATAAATCTTTGCGCATTTTCATTTGACCACTCATGTAACAGAACAGGTTTTAGTATAAATGCAAAATTTTTCGTCTGTTAAAGTTTGATTTTTTCATTTTTTCATAAAAAAATAAAAAAAAAACTGGAATGATTAATTATTTTGTCAGAAGCTATCAGTCCTATCGGAAAGTGATGTATATATGGTTTATGGAGAGTTTTATTGTCTTTGATTTGACGTATCTCATTTTAAGATTGTTAAATTGGTTCGTAGATATACGTGATTTAGTGGAACCATTTTTTGTTTTAAGCTGAATAACGGTAAATTGCAAATATCTCGAAAACGTATCCATAGAAAAAAAATCAACTCTTTTTTCGGAATCATCGAGCAATTCTACATAGAAATTGGATAGTGGCGTCTGGAGAACAAAAACCAAACTAAAATCTGTGATCCAGTGTTATTTATTATCCACTGATTGATAGCATGTATCTTGCTGATATTGAATTTTTATAAAAAATTTATATAAAGAAATGGAAATATTTATTACTTCTCGATCAGATCTTTTAATCGTTTACATTGAATATCAATCCTTATTCTATAATTCATTATTTAAAAGAAAACAAAACACGGAAACTTGCACGGAGTCGCTAGTTATTAATTTTTTTCGCTCCTGCCACGGGTGCTTTTGCTTTCATGCCGTGTTCAGATATAAAGCATAACTGCTACAAGTAGCAGTTTTTGGTTTCTGCTGCACAAACTATTATACTATCATCTTTACTTAGTTTTCTCTGTAAAGACAAAATACATGCATTTGTACAATGCAGGGAACTCAACTAACTATAAATGCACTATAAGTTCACTGTTTTTCAAATAGGGTTAACTACGCCTCGACTACGTAGCTTTCAACTGACTTAATTTACATGATGTCACAAAAAACGTGAGTTTGTTTTCAGCTAACTACCAACCGGTTATTAAAAAGTTCACTTGTAGTGTGCCATATGTGTAATAGAATGTTTTTAGTAATCTCGGTTTTTATACTTATTTCAAGCTAACGATTACCTGCATGATAACTATTTAGTTAGGATGTATGTGTTAAGTCAAATTGGTTTTTTCTTAATGCGGTTCTTGAGTAGGTATAAACAAGGTATAAATTTTGTGATTCAGGATGAGTGGAAAGGTTTTTGTGTGGTTTGTGGATCAAATTCTTGTCAAAATACTTGTCGGACTAATCTAGGGGACTCAGGTATAATACCTTGTAAATTCTATAATAACACACTTTTCACTTAATATGTTAAAAAAAATATTTTAAATTACTTATTGTTACATATGGGAAAAATGTAGAAGAAATTGACGACCAAGGCGAACCGGACTTGCTGTAGTTGCACGGATAAAATAATAAGTGTTTACAATAATATACATATGTATGTTTGGTTGATTGTGCATCTCAGAAACTAAATTATTTTTTTAACCCGTCAGATTAAGAAAACCCCTCCAGATATTCGTCAGATTATGGAACAGGTCGACCAGGGCATCGAGATGAACCTTCTGTATGAAAATCTAACGCGCTCGAGTAAATCCATATGGCGATTTTTTTTGCATCTTTAAGAAAACGCCACGAGCTTGCGTCAGATTATTGAATGGGAGGTTCATTCGGGCCCACTTAACATCCCCTGTGAATATCTGACGCGCTCGAGTACATTTTTTTGTCACCCATATTTGACCCTTCCGTACGCCCAACCCCACCATGCAAACCGTCAGATTAACATATTTCCGCCATCAGAAACACGCTTCATTTATTCGCTATCAATATCTGATGCGCTCGGGGAAATCCATGTAACTTTTTTTTACATTTTTGGAAGCCTGTAGATCCTCCACCCACCCTTGGAAGGAAAAACATCACATGACATTTTTTTCTTCCCATCATATAATCTTCAAAATCCAATAGGTTAAAATGATGCTCGAGTAAATCCCGATTTAGCATCGTGGGCACCCCTACTACCAGTTTTTTTCTAGAAAGTGAAAATTTTGAAACAATCTTGCACTCATACATATCCCCTAGATTGAGCACTGCATGACTTTGAAATCTATTAAAAGTTAGCCGCAAAAAATTGGCAAAAAGTTGGCTATTTTAGTAGTCGACTACGAAATTCCCGACAGGGTACATACATAAATACATACATACGAACATATATAAGTATGCATGTTATGTATGTACATATTTATGTATACAACTTCATAAAATATTGTATTAAATAATCTATGCTTATGTTTATAAATAAAGTTGATTTTTTTTGAGTTCTCTGATTGCACCACGCTCGCTGCGAGTCCGCGGGGAACGTGGCATGAAAGCAAAAGCACCTGTGGCAGGAGCAAAACAAATTAATAACTGGCGACTCCGTGCAAGTTACCGTGTTGTTTTTTTTCTTTTAAATAATGTATTATAGAATAAGGATTGATATTCAATGTAAGCGATTAAAAAATCTGATGGAGAAGTATTAAATATTTCCATTTGTTTATACATTATACAAATTTTTTTATAAAAATTAAAAATTTTGTAAAAAATAATGATTATCTAGTGCGAAGTGATTTTTGAAACTTTTTGCTACCGGCTTCACGCATTTTCTTCCATTCAAAGTACTATGTCGACCATTTGTTTTGTATGGAAGAAAATAATACACTATCGGCAAAAAATCAACGCGAATTCTGGGCCTATTGAAACTTGCACCTTATTATTAATAAGCTACAAAACTGCATACGTGAAATATTTTTCTTAAAATTATGCATACAAAGTTTTTAAAACTTAAAAAATTAAACTACCGAAAGGAAGATAGTCAAAACTGGTCAAGATGTCGTGTTTTTTTTTTACATAACAGTATATATGTATGTGCATTTGAATAAACTGTTTCTACGAACACCGTGTATTTAAAAATATAATATAAATGCAGTATTTTGGAAAAACCCGCAGTATTCCTTTTCGGAATCCAAAAAAAAGTATTTTACTGCAAAAACAAGTATAGTATGTATGTATAATGTAATGTGTAAAATCATCGAGAACGTTTATTAAGAAATTATATCTTCATGTTATAATGACTATTACTATTGATATGAAAATAATTATTATAATCGTTACAGCTTTTACGTGTCATGATCAAGGATCATCCTGCTTGTGTTTTGCTCCTCAACATCAATTGTTGATATCATGTGGGAAAAAAGGGGACATATGTATTTTCGATGTAAGACAAAGGACTCTTAAGCATCGATTCCAGGTAATGTTGTAATACCTTTTAGTGATTTAATTTTCAAAGCTTAGTTATATTGATCTTGATTTGTATTTACATTTAATGACTTATGCTATCGCATTAGTCGAATGAATCAAATTAAGCAAGCCTTAGACTTGACTTGACTTGAAAATTGTATATCTGGCAAATTAGCAGCGCGTGTATGTAGTTACCCAAAAAAAAACATTTCACTTAAAAACTTGGAGAACTATAGATTTTTGATTTCTAAGTTAAATTTCTAAGCGAGATAATCATGCTGCCATCTCGTTTTGTAATAAAATCCCTACAAATATGCCACACAAATATAATTTTTTGTATAAATGTAATTCATTTGGCAATCGAAAACGGATTTGCAAATAAAGACAGAAAATAAAATAAAAACAATCACAGTTTGATACGCGTAAATACATTTATTTTAATAGTAATTTTGTATACATTTTGGTGTAAAAACAAATAAAACGTTTACAAATTTACGTGTACACATACAAGAGCTGAGGATCAAAACAATGAAAAAAGGTAATAGGCGACACGCTTTAAACTGGAAAAAATCTGACAATCAGCTACTCTTTTCATGAATCCATAAGACATATGTATCACTTCTCCATCCATGAAGTGAATAATCAAGAGATGGTAGGTAGGTTGGTAGGTCGAAGGTGCTGCTGGGCCCAGATGACACCACTTAGGCCTAATCAGGGCCCATTGTGATACCGCATGGATAAAAAAAACTCCCTTATAAGAGCTTGCAGTAAGCTAGTGGCATACCCATCCTCTTCCAGGCTGGTGAAAGTGGATAGGAAGTAAAACGGGTAACAAATCGGCTTCGGGCTAAACCGAAATTTCTCCGGCTGTTTGCTATCGCAACCGGCTAAATTTAGCCAGAAAACGTCTAAAATGGCAACACTGGCTGCCAGTTCGGTTTGAAAGACACTACAGTGGTCAGGTAGACGGAATTATTGTTGTATTCCCAATTGTACCGAGTAGACGCCCCCTCCTACTACCCTGTTTTCTAGTTTGGAGCCGCCCGTGTAGAATCTTATGGCATCTTCAGATCCCGGAACTTCTTCGATCCATGATTCTCTGCTAGGTAAAGTTACGCTATAACCTTTAGTGAACGTCCATTGTGCTCGGTAGCTGTCGGTTGATAAGAATTGTAGTGTGACCACATTGAGGCGCTTTCCAGCTTCTAAGCTCCTGTAGTCCTAGGGCGGCATTCGCAGCGTTTAGAATCACATTCATTGCCATAGTAGGTGTTGTGCGAAGAGCAGATCAGGGCTATACTCTCCGCTTTTTGTAATTTAGAACTGTTTACTTTCTCCTCTAGCACTGGCCACCATACCACTACCCCATAGAGAAGTATGGGTCTCATCACGACGGTGTATATCCAGTGCAATAGACACGGGGTTACACCCCATTTTTGGCCAATTGCCCTCCTACAGCTATATAGGGCAACGGTGGCCTTCCGCACCCGCTCTTCGGTGTTTTAAATCCAGCTTTTTTATCTACGGCTATCCCAGGTATTTCGCGGGTTCGCTTAGTTTTAGCGTGGTCTGTGTCAGCTTTGGTGTTATCAATGTGGGGATTTTGTACTTTCTTGTGAACAGTACGAGTTCTGTTTTGCCTGGGTTTACACCTAACCCGTTATTTTTTGTCCACCTCTCGACTTCCTTCAGTTTTACGTGCATAATGTCACATAGGGCCTGTGGAAATTTACCACTTACTGTTAGTGCAAGATCATGCGCATACGCGATAACCTTACTGCCACCCCCTTCCATGACACACAGCAGTGTGTTTACCCCTGCGACCCATAAAATAGGGCATAGGACTCCCCCTTTGCGGGGAACTCTTTTTTGCGAACCTGGTCAACGATACCACCGCCAGCTCCGTTCAAACCACCCTGCATCGCAGCATTTGGTTCTCGAGCGCAACCAAGCACAAGTCGATGCCCAGGCCCGTCAGCGCTGCCGTTATCGCGCCCGGCATGATGTCGTTAAAGGCGCCTTCTATATTCAGGAAGGCTGCAAGCGTATATTCTTTGATGTCTAGTGATCTTTCTATATGCGTGTTGTGGTAGAGAGTGAGTCACCAACTGTCTCTCTGATATGGACCTACACCAGTCCCTCCATAACCTTCAGTAGAAATGACGACAAGGTGATGGGCTTGAAATTGTTTGGGTTGTTGTGGGACATCTTCCCTGCCTTGCAAATGAACACCACTCTCGATTCGCTCCACAATCTAGGCATATGATTAAGACCTAATACTCCCATAACACTGTGGAACAAATTCAGGTTAGCAAAAGTATGGTCGATTCTGAGAGTGAGGGGTGAAAATAGAGGCTAAATTAGAAGACCCGTATCGCGGCGTTTGTTTATGTTAGTTCGAATTTTTTTTTAATCGACCTTCGAACTTTGCAGTCAAATTCCGATTTCAGCATATTGTTTATATGGTTTTTTGGCTATAACTCGTCGACTAATTGATATTTTTTCAATCTGTTAAAGCCAAATTATTGCTAGAGACCTGTGCAATAATTAAAATTTTTAAAAAAATTTATTTAGAAAATTTTTGTAGTGCTTATGAAGCCCAATGTTGGAATTTTTTTGTTCATGCTTTTTGAACATATTTTCCACAAAACTAAGTCTTTTTTGCTTTCTGTTTGATCTATAATATGTTTCTCAGTTTCTTCAATAAATTTCATTTGAAAAGAAAACAATCATAATACAAAACTTGCGTTTTCCAGCTTAATAGCCTATCGTGTAGCCTATTGTCTTTAGGCCATTTCCGTCCAATGCGACTATTCCAGTTATGCTGTTTGTACTGGTTTCTTCCTTTAATACCTTCTCCGTATCGTGAATCCCAATCGCACAAAAAACACGGATATTTTGGACGGCCAGATGCTGTTAAGCCTGTAATCAATGAAACTATTTTGAGGTCGCAGCAAATGCGCCACTGGTGTTCGTTATATTTGACTACTTAAAACTTTTTTTTTTTACTTAAAACTTTTCATAACTAACATTTGAAAATTATATTTTTTCCATATTTTTATAATTTCTTTTTCAATGTTTCTTCAAAACCAACACTGAAAAAATTGGTACATAAGAAATGAGAAGTAAATTAATATTAAGCTGGAAAACGCAAGTTTTGTATTATGATTGTTTTCTTTTCAAATGAAATTTATTGAAGAAACTGAGGAGCATATTATAGATCAAACAGAAAGCAAAAAAGACTTAGTTTTGTGGAAAATACGTTCAACAGATTGAAAAAATATCAATTAGTCGACGAGTTATAGCCAAAAAACCATATATACAATATGCTGAAAATCGGCATTTGACTGCAAAGTTCGATGGTCGATTAAAAAAAAAATCGAACTAACATAAACAAACGCCGCGATACGGGTCTTCTAATTTAGCCTCTATTTTCACCCCTCACTCTCAGAATCGACCTAACTTTTGCTAACCTGAATTTGTTCCACAGTGTAATTATAGCGTGTAGCCACGCTGAGCTTTGCTGTAAAGTTTGCTGCCAACGCGATCCGGACCTGGTGATTTATAAGGCTTAAACGCCCTATAGACCAGATGACCCTTTCCCTAGTGATGAAATATCCAGTGACTGGATGATCTCCAATTAATTGTGACTGTACCGGCCTGCTGTCCGTGGCACCCGGAAAGTGTGTGCCTAGAAGCAGATCCAGTGATTCCTCCTCGGTTTCAGTCCAAGAGCCATCAGGTCTTTGGGGCTTTCTTGGCAGCACCTGAGAGCATTTTTCTGAGCCTACCCTCTCTGATATTTAATTTGCACGTGGAATCTGGAAATTAACAAATTGTGGCAAGCATCTTTGCGCACACGGCTACAGCCACCCTGTAAAAAAATTCGACTAATTCGGGATGACTACGAGAGCAATCGCAAAGGAACATGCGACTAACATAGGACTGTCATAATCCCGAACCATTCGACCAGGACCCTTATTGCCTACAAATACAGTTTCTTTGGTTCTGGCGTTGCATAATTTGAACTATTTTCTGATATTGTAAGCAATGTAGTTTTGTGACACAACCCGTAGAGGTAATTGATGATGATGAAACGCTCAAATTCAATTTTTTTTTACTGTGAAGTCACACGATCAACAACTTGGTTTCAAGTTGATCACATATACTGCTTGTCAAAATTCATTTGGATTGACAGCTGTGACACATGCCGCACGCAACTTGATAGTCACTTTTACTTTCAGGATGCCGTCGTCAAGGCAACCACTTTAAACTCTCACCTCGTTCCTACACACATATTTATAATACCTGCAGTAATATCTTCCTGGCTATTTTTGACGAAATCCCGAAGGAAGGGAACAGACTAAATCTGATCAGCTGTTTGACTTGACTTCCAAGGTGCCTCACGGCTTGAAAGGAAAAATTGATATGAATACGAAGTTCAAGTTGTATGTGCAGGTGTATTAATAAAAAGTGTGAGCGGATTGCAACGTGCTTTCCAGTTCTTGATATGTGTAACCTCCAAGTTAATCATAAGAGAACTAACGTGACCGTGACGTAACTTGGAAAAATTTTTGGCACTTTTAACGTAGTCTTGAGTGCTTGCCTTACCACCATTAGCAAATTTCCACATATCCTACAATGCGCTTCATGATCATTTGTGCCATTTTTTATATGCATAACCTAAAGATAATTTAGGTAGGCTGTCTGAAGTGAAGCCATTCTAAAAGACTTACCCAATAAGAACTGAAAAAAGTGCTTCCCTGCATGCGTCCTTAAGCATACGTTTATATTATTTAGCATTACAAATAGGATTCAATAAGCATTTTAAGTCTCAATAAAATATATTTGATCTGAATCTTAAATCTTTAAATTCCTAAAAGAAGTATGATTTTTATAAACTAAAAACAGCTTTAAAAGAACTTCTTCAAAAGGCCTTCAGAAGTATGTACGTCCTACAAAAGCCCTTCTGGAAGCTTTTGTTTGAGTAGCGAAAGCACCTTTTTGGCATTTGCCTGAAGATACAAAATCAGGACACCACGACCAGTTGTTTAAATCAGGACAAATCCTGGAAAACCGGGATGTCTAGTAACCAGGATGTCTTGTTCCCTTCTATACCCGAACGGGTACAAAAAGCGATTAGTCACTTTTAAAAAATAGAAATGAAAATTTCCGCCAGTTGCAATTCGAACCTCAGTATGTCCAGTTATCAGACTGAGCTTTTTTCTCCAAATTTGGCCCCTATAAAGGACTTAGGGTTGCGGACAATGCTTTTCCGGCAATTTGAGTGTTGTGCAGCAATTTAAAGTGGTGAAAAATTTTAGCACCAAATGTATGAAATCTAAAAGATTCGCTTCACATTATTAATAAAACTTGACGTAATTGTATTTTTTTATTCTGATAATACTAACTAATGCTGTTGTTTACAAGTCGAAGGGATATAAAAAATATTTGTAATGAAATAATTTAATTAAATGTAAACCATATTAAACGTAAAAACGAATATATATAGATTTACTTAATTTAAATGGTGAAACATGTTTTACAAATTGATATGACTTTTATTATAAATTATTGTCATATACATATGTGATATTTGCATTAGGGTGCCCATCGAAAATGCTTTTTTGGAAATTTCAAGACCGTATCACCTAATTTTATTCGTTTTTATGAGAAATATTATTGCCTATTTTGATAGATTTTTTAAGGGTCATTTAGAGGTCGGGCCCTGTCGATTTAGGTAAGAAAATAGGATTTTGTAGATTTATGAGTTTTTAATGACTATTTTTGATTCGATTTCAAAGTTCGAATATGATATGGGAAGAGGATATATAGGTCTTTAAAACGGTATATAATAATCTATTGTCGGACTAGGTTTGTTGGGATTTTTTATCGGCTAAATTTAAAAAAATCCATATTTCTCCTATTTTTTTTTAATTTTGACCATCGATTATTTCTACAATTTCAAAATATGGAGTACTATCGAAAATTAAATATATTTTCAAATAAACTGATACCTCATTTATTGCAATTGCATAAAAATAGTCGAATTTAGGCGACTTTTCTTAAATATGGCCTTGAATTTATATGTGTGTATTTATTCAAAATTGATATATACATTCTCCCTTTAGTAAAAAAACGGTTTTCTAGAAATTTTATGAAAATTGGGGAAGCACCGCCCACTTATATGATATATGCGTATTTCAAAAACTACTTGACCGATCTCGACCAAAATTGGTACATATATTGTGCTTAGCCTCCTTAAGTACCGTTTTGAATATTTTTGAAATCGGACAAAACCTACTCCTCCTAAAAAATATAGCTAGCTTTGAGTTTTTCGAAATTACCATTACGTTGGTGGAGCCCGATTTCAAAAATTTTCAATATGGCGCTTAAGAAGCCTAGACCGAATGTGTGTAGCAAATTCGGCCAAGTAGTTTTTGAGATACGTATATATCATATAAAAGGGCGGTGTCACCCCCATTTTCCTAAAATTTCTTGAAAAACCACTTCTTTGCTAAAGAGCGATTGCATATATCAATTTTGAATAAATATTGATGAAATCCTTGGCCACACTGATTAAAAAATTTTAAATTCCGGTACATACACAATATAAATTCAAGCCTGTATTTAAGAAAAGTCCCCTAACTTCGACAATTTTTATGCGATTGCAGTAAATGAGCTATCAACTTATTTCAAAATGGATTTAATTTTAGATAGTACTCCATATTTGAAATTGTAGAAATTATCGATGGTCACAATTTAAAAAATTAAGAGAAATATGGTTTTTTCTTTTAATTTACCCGATAAAAAATCCCAACAAGCCTAGTCCGACAATAAATTATTATATACCGTTTAATTATTATATACCATATCATATTCGATCTTTGTACTCGAATCAAAAACAGTCATTCAAAAACTGCTGAATCTACAAAATCCTATTTTCTGGCCTAATTCGACAGGTCGCGACCTCGAAATGACCTTTAAAAACTCTATAAAAATAGGCAATAATATTTCTCATAAAAACAAACAAAATTAGGGGGTAGGGTCTTGAAATTTCCAAAAAAAAAATTTTCTATGGGCATCCGACTGTACATACATTCATACATATTCTCATTAGCTTACCGACTTCACTTAGGTTCTTGAAATTTATAGCATTTTCAGTTTTAATGAAACCATTTTCAAATTAAGTGAAACCTTTTTCAAATTAAATGAAACCTTTTTCATGTTAAGCGAAACCATTTTCAAATTAAATGAAACCTGTTTCAGATAAAGCGAAACCTTTTTCAAATTAAATGAGACCTGTTTCAGATTCAATGAAACTTTATTCAATTTAAATGAAACATTCTTAAATTAAGTATTAAACATTATGGAGTTTAGGAAGAGGAAATCAACCTATTAAGAGCCATTTGCACCATGTCTAGCTAACACTTGCTCCTAGTTGCACATCTTTATCGACGTTACCGACGCCATTCTTATAACAGGAAGTCGATAACGCCGATTATTAGGTTTAACTCGCGGAAAGTGTTACCCAGACATGATGCAAGTGGCTCTAACAGTCGGTTTCACCAAATTTTTTCTTTTGCAAATTAACTCGGATTTAATTTTAAATTTAATTTTTATTTAACTTTGCACTTAAGTTTCCTGCGTTTGATCATTATTCAGATTTGGCAACCCAAAGATCTAAAAGCAGGGATGTTAGTAGAAATAACAACTGATTTATGTAAACAAATAAATTGTGGTGTTATATTAGAAAAGTTTAAAATGGAAAGTGCAGCTCGAACCAAACATTTTTCAGCAGATGAAGTTAGTACTTTGCTAAGCCTAGTGCGGAAAAATGCAAATATGTTGGAGTGGAAAGCTACGAAAAGAAAAAGCATGGGAAAATGCAGCGGAGAGTTTCAACTCGATGTGCTCCGGGGCACCACGGTCAGCAAAAAATCTGCGAACAAAGTATTTGAACTTGAAAGCAGATATGAAAAAAACGATCTGCAGACCACAAAAAGTATGCCTATGGAACGGGCAGAGGTCCATCCAGAGAGCCAGCTGCTTCCCATATTGACATATTACTGTGCGAGATATTTCCGGAGAAACAAGTGCAGGGAATGGAGTCCAAATACGACAACGACTTCCTACCATTCGAGAAACATCCTGCAGATTTGGATCATTCAGGTATGTAGTTGCAAATTGCCAAATGATAATTATGAGTTATATGGTTGCCGGGTACAATGGAAAATTGATAGTAACTGCAAAGCTGACAAACTGACAGGGAAAGGTATGACCACCCAAAACCTCTCGGGAAAGGACACGGTAGATATAGCGATAACCACTTTCAAGCAGTTTTATAGATCATACCAGTCTTTTAACCAAGGAACGCTGGAACACCTTTTCGCCTTGAGAAATTTTCAGGATTACCTGGTATTTATATAAAAGGAAACGCTTACGGGCCACTTCCTAATGTGGAATCAGAACCTTTATTGACCTATGTGACATGTAGGACCGAATCGAAAAAGTTACCAAATTGAAAAATAAATTACCAAATCTGTTATAGAAAGAAAAAAATAACCAATTTTGGTTAAAAATTACCAAAGCGGTAACGCTGATTATGACTAACATGTATGTTTATGTATGTTTGGCCTTTAACAGTTGGAAGTGATCCTCAGCAACGAAATGTTCGAAGCCAGCAAGTGGTGCAAAGCCAAACGAAGGAACAATGAATTTTGTTTATTGAAGTAGCAAGACATCAATTAATAAATATCATAATCTGCCTAATGAAAATTAACAAACGGTTGCAAATATTTCTATTCACAGATTGTGTAATCGATGATATGGACTTGCGTGAACAATCAACAAGCAAAAGGCTTCGTGCTCCAACCCCAAATCATACAACAACTGAAAAAGAAGGTAGCAGCAAATGTTTTATAATTTTAAAATTCTAATTTGCTTGTTTGTTTGTAGATTATGAGCCTTGGGAGCACTACACATAAATGCAGTTGAAAACGCCTAAAAACAAAAAGCTGTGCACTGAAAGTGTAAACAGAAAACACACAAGTTAGGCAAAGCTAGCAGAAATAAAGTCTAAATGGACGGAAAGAAAAGTGGAAGAAGAAGTGGAATTTGCGAAAATCGAGAACACTTTACGTATTACCCAATTGAAAGAAGTACAGTGTGGCGACGAATAACTGTTACCCAGGTTTTTTTGAGAAATAAAAGGGTCCTTAATAGATTTCGTGAAAAAAGTCCTTTATTGTTAATTTTCCAGATATTTTACTTTAGTTGTAATAATTGGTTTTTAAATTTTAATCCTTATTTACATTTGCCAGCAGTGTAAACTTTGAGAGAAAGATCATTTGGCACGCAGGTCGTCGCCAGTTAATTTGTTCCATATCTTCTGTAACCGTAAGCTCTCCATTTTGAATCCCTTATACTTCCCCTTTTGTCCAACATAAGGCCTCATTCTCAAAAATCGAATAGACTCGGAACTGCTGACTAGGACGGCCATTCATTCGATCAACCCTATACAGTTTTCTTCTTTTTTTGTCTTTTTTTATACAAAGCCTTTGAAAAAATACACCTGAAAAAGACTTGCTTGCAACATGAACTTTTCTTTCAAAGTTTACACTGCTGTCAGATGCGAATAGGGATTAAAATTTAAAAACTAATTAATACAACTCAAGTAAAATCTGTGGACAATTAACAATAAAATACTTTTTTCGAAAAATCTATAAATGGCCCTTTTATTTCTCAAAAAAAAAACCTGGATAACAGTTATTCGTCGCCACGCTGTTCACGAACTACAAAAACTATTTGCATCTGAAAAGCCTGCCCTTGAAATGCGAATACTTGCGGATCAATTCAAAACAATTGAAAATACTTAATTTTAACACTACATACCCCTATGTTCAAAATAATAGAATTGTATCACTTTGAACGGTATTAACTATTTTTTCAGTTTGTTTAATGTTAATTAATTATTTAGAAAAGTATTGTTCATTTCATGCATTTATTTAATACATTAATTTCATTTCATAAACTGATTTTATGCCAAAATTAGAAAAATTCCACAAACTACAAACTTAAAGTAAATTTTTATATAGAAGAAAGTTCATATCCCCGTCACCAAAAAAATTATAAAAAATCAACGGGGTCTTTTAGAAACTTCAAACATGCGCCTTATTCCACTAAAATTTAATAAGCCATAAAACTGCATACAAAAATTGTAAATTCTGAATGAAAAGTTTATAATATTGGTAATATTTTTTGAGTTTTTTTGTTTAATATCCAAGGAAGTTTCAATATTGAATTTATTTGGTTTTTGTTTTGAATATCGATGGCTGAGTGTAAGATCGACCTATCTCAGAAAACAGCAGAATTTTATTGAAGAACGCCCTATTTCAGAATTTTATTGAAAACATCCTATCTCAAAATTTGGTTGAAGAACGTCATATCTCAGAACTCGGCTTAAAAAGCCCCATCTTAAACGAAAATACATTGAAAATGTGCTGAGATAGGGCGTTTTTGAATCGGCAGCTGACCGCATTCTGAGATAGGGCGTTCTTCAACCAAATTTTTGGATACAATGCTTTCAATAAAATTCTTAAATAGGGCGTTATTCAATAAATCCTGCAGTAGGGCGTTCTTGAAAAGTTTTCTGAGATAGGGCATTTTCGAAATGGCTGCCGAGATAGGTCCTTCTTCCACTCATATATGTGCCTTATCAGTATTAACATATGTATATAAGTAGTAGAATGTGTTTCTGACTTTCAAATAGGTAAATATGGTTTTGAATAATTACATAAAATATATTTACAAGCATATGTGCCATATCAGTATTTACATAAATACTAAAATGTGTTCCTGAATTTTATAAAGATGTTTACAGCGTGGCGACGATTAACTGTTACCCAGTTTTTTTTTGAGAAATAAAAGGGTCATTTTATAGATTTTGCGAAAAAAGTATTTTTTTATTGTTAATTTTCCACAGATTTTACTTTAGTTGTATTAATTAGTTTTTAAATTTTAATCCTTATATACATTTGCCAGCAGTGTAAACTTTGAGAGAAAAGTTCATTTCATGGGATATCCGGTTAAAAATTATTATGCTGTAGTGTATTTTGTTGCTGTAAACTAAATAACAAATATAACCGGATAACCAGGCAAGTGTGAATAACCTCAGTATTTGGTATATAAACTAAATATAGTTCATAAAAAATAAAAGTGTTATTCATTTTAACATTCGTGTTACACAGGAGTCAATAAATTATTTCATATTTATGACATTTTTGAATAGCAATAATGTAATCATTTCCATTTTCAGTATTCTAATCATTTCCTTTTAAAATTACTATTAATTTGAAGTTCACTTCCAAAAATTATAATTAGAAGCTGGTTTCTCTCTTTGCGCCAGTAAATAAACTTTATACTTAAGATCCTCTCCGTTGCTTGGTTTGAGTGTGGTATTGAAAAAAAACAAAGTTCCTATTTTTTCCAAACTGTGGAAAAGTACCACTATTACGGACGTCATCCATACTTCCTCATTGCTGAAATTAATTTTTTCCAATACGCAAAAACTTTTAAAGACTAAGAATTCGCTAAAAAGAGTATCTTACTCTATGCCGTGTATGCAAAACTATTTTATAATGTCAGTAAATTCAAAAAAACAGAATTGTAAGTTTTAGGCAAAAGCCATTCAATTATTAAATTTTTTTGTTATTAAACTGAAAATTATTTTCGAGATATGTAACAAACCTCGACAAAAAAACGTCAGTTATATTTTTAAATAATTTATACTCGCATCATATTATCACAATTGGTACGTGACGCCTCGGCGATATGCCCATGAAACGATTAATCTTTTTGTTGGGCATATCAAACATTTTCTGAAACAACTATAATTAAATTATTTTCTTATTACTTTTTAGAGTACAGTTTAAGTAACTTCCATCGTTATATAAAAATCTTAAGAAAATCCTAAAAATTTTGTTTTAATCGAAAATTCAGTTCAAATCAGTACAAATTTTGAAAAATCAGGACATCAGCGTACTGATTGAATGAATGAATAAAATCAGTACAAGAGTTGAAAAATCAGTACTGTACTGATAAAATTAGTACGTCTGGCAACCGTAGCTGAGATTATGGGTACTTCAACAATTGTATCGATAATATTATATATTTCATTTTCGCAGACTGCTGGAGCGACACAATCGTTGTTTAAGCTGCAAATGTTATGTAAAACGGCGGTTGCAACGATTATACATTCCACTTCCCTGAGATTCATTCGTATTCCCAGCGCAAGAACTGGAAATCTTCGTTTCCACACACCGTATTGACGTTCAACACAATTACGAGCTCTGATTTGCGATTCGTTATATAACGCCTCAGCCGGAGTTTGTACTTTTAACAAGGGTGTCATTATCCACCGATTGTGAGGGTAGCCACGGTCGGCAACGACTATTGCATTCCCTGCTTCAAATCGGCTAAATATTCTTGAATTAGTAAGTATTATTGCGTCATGTGACGAGCCTGGCCAACGGGCTACGATGTCCATGATGTTCAGTTTTCTGTCACAAAACTTCACATTAATTGAAAAGTAGTTTTTTCGGTTTCGGAAGAGTTCCGCTTCATCCTCACCTAAATAGTCACGCATGTTAAATAATCCTCATTAGTTGAAATTATTTAATGTACTCACTTGGAGATAGTAATTTTACATGTGTGCAGTCCATGGCCGCTAGCACGCGTGGAAACTTTGCTACTTTATAAAATTGTCTCTGAATTTCTCTTTGGCTTTCTAATTCCAAGGGGAATTTTATAGAGCGTTGTCTTAACAACGCAATGTTGTGACACACTCTCCTTATTGCGCGACAGGAAGAACTTTTTGAAACGCCACACAGGTCACCGCCAGTTCTTTGCATGCAGCCAGTTGCAAAGAAACGCAGTGTTAGTAAAAGCGTTACTTCGGGAGACATCGCACCGTTTCTACAATATTTACCAAAAAATAACAGAATTTGTAATCGAAGGTACTTTAATGTTTACTTACTTCTTAGTTTTGTGCCGATTTTCGTTCCTAATCAGTTCAAGTACCATCCAAGCTGATTGTTTAGTCAAACGAAACCTATACCACGTAATATGTAAAACAATTACGTCGTTCCCTCATTATACGAGGACGACGATTTATAAATATACTTATTCAAATTTCACACTCCATATCACTTTCGTCTTCAGATGCCAAGGAAAAGGTGACCATTTACATACAAATTAAATGGTGAAACTGAAAATAAGTCATAGTTTATAAAATTAATGAAGAGCTTGTCCATTCGCCGCTTCCGGAATTTGGATGATCACGTCCATAACATAGTTCGCACAGTCATTTTGACTAATTAGTGCGATACTACTTTCTTCAATTTCACTATCTACAGTGCCCGAAATAATTTAGCCGCATTAATATTTCAAAAGAAAACTCACTTTCAAATTACTGTTTTGCTTCGGATTTTGGACAAGATGATCGGCATTCTTTAATAGTAACAGTGCAGTTCATATTTCTTTAAAATATTTTCCATTCTTGATTTTTGTACAATATTTGCATATTTTCCAGGCAACCAGTGCGAATTAGGTTTAGTTGCAGTCACTTATGTGTGCACGCTAACCATTATTATTTTAATTCCAGTCAACCAGTGCGAATTAAGTTTAGCCGCAGTCACACTAACCATTATTATTTGAATTCACTGGCCGACCATTAACCATGTCATCAGCTCAAAAACTACTTTTACTTCGCAGTGCCTCTAATAGCTTAAAGTCTGCGAGCCAATTAAAAGTTGAAAATAATTTAAGAATTTGTCTTCGACGGATTCGGCAAATTTTGGGCAGCTGCTAACACCTAAAGTTTAAAAAAAAAATTAAGAAAAAGCCACTGTTAACTCGCACCAATATTGAAGCACGTATAAAGTTTGCTGTAGATCATATTCACTGGACTGATCAATGGCGCGAAATAATTTTTTCTGATGGCATGATTTACGCACAAACGAAAGTAAGTAGTAAGCGGCAATCAGGCGGTGGTTCTGTGATGATGTTGGGTGCTATCGGTTACTTGGAGAAGTTATCATTGTCACTCATTTCAACGCGAATGACTGCCATTCAATACCAGGAGATGGTTGGACCCAATTTTCCTGCTTATGGCTACGAGTGCGCTGGATTAGGCTGGCAACTACAG